CAAATATCTTGTTTATATCTGTTTTGAGCAATTCTCTGGCTGCCATTCTTCCTGGAGTTTCTTTTGAGGTGAATTCTTCCTTTTCATCATTTTGGCTAGTATTCCGTCCCTTACTTGTTGTAATAGTTTGTTAATGTGTCCTGTACCTGCGAGCACTACTGTATTAAAAAGGGGTTATACACTGTCCAGGGCCTGGCCTTTCAGGAGGTGTTTTCCTAATATGTTACATGCTCTCTGTTGTTGTGACTCTGGTTGCTTTGTCTCCCTACTTTTAATAGTGGTTTGGACCTTCCACCATGAAGTAACCCTGGAAAAACAATTTTAAAAAGAGGGTGGTGGTGGAAGAAGCCTTATCCCATACAAAGAGAGAAATGACAGGGGTGGGCATAAAGAAAAAAAAAAAAAAAAAAAAAAAAAAAAGAAAATTGACCAGACAGAGTAACCATATGACTTAATCCTGAGAGAGAGAGGAAGATAAATAAGAAGGAGATACAGAAGAGGTGTAAAAATAATAGATTCAATATGTCTGCTTAAAGAAACCAACAACCAGAATAACCAGACTAGAGAACAAAGAAACTAGGGGAAGGAAAGGAAGGAAATAAAAAGGAATATATATACAAAATAAGAATTGACCAAGAATCAAATCAGAAAATGCAAAACCGCTGGGTGCCTTGGAGCCAGTGGCTGTGCTGGTCTGGAGGAAGGGGTTGTCTGGTTAGCCAGTGCCAATCAAACACTGGTAAATTCACAGTGACCAGACTTGGAGGGGTGTGGCTTGGTAGCAGGCAGGTCCTGCCTCCACTGTGGGCCCTTTGTTCCCTAGAGCCTCATCTTGTTGGTGATGGGGATAAAAATGGTGACACCCCAGTCTCTCCTCCCCAGACTGGGTGTCCCAAACACTCTGTTTAAGCCATCTGCACAGTGCTGTGCATGTGGGAGCAGGCTGGGTATGTTCTGCTCCACAGTCTCTTGCGCCTCCCAGGTGCTCAGCGGGATTCAAACCCCCATGTCTTAAAGGGTCCCACTACATGCCCACGGTTTCAGGGAAGTGCCACTCTGCCCAGCCAGATTACAAAGGGCCTCTGGCTCCTCACAGTGCTGCGTGGGCGGGAACAGGGTGGTTTGTCCCATTCCACCATCTCCTGCACCTCCCTGGCACATGGCTGGGATTCAAACCCCATTGTCTTAAAGGATCTCGCTCTGCTCACCCCAGTTCCAGAAAAATGCCACTCCACCCCAGTGATAGAGGGCCTCTGGCTCCCCACAGTGCTGAGCTGGTGCAAACGAGGCCGTCTGTCCCGCTCCACAGTCTCCTGTGCTTCCCTGGTGCTTGGTTGGGATTCAAACCATCAGTCTTAAAGGATCCCACCTGTACACCCTGGTTCTAGGGTAGAGCCCCCCAGCCCAGCCAGCCGACAAAGGGCCTCTGACTGGCAGGTGCAGGCAGGGTCTTTTGTCCTTGGAATGGCTATGTGCCTTCTTCACAGAGCACTCAAGGGAGGGGATTGCTTTCTCTCACTGAGGACTGCACCTCTGTGCTAGTTACCAAGACTGGGACTGGCTCCCCTTCTCCCCAGGCACGTGAACAGGGCAGCTGGCCCCAGTCCAGAGAAAGCCAGGCACGTAGAAATTAGACCTTTCTCTTTTTTTTCTGTTCCCCGGTCCATGGGTTTTCTCTGGTCCAAATACAATCCTACACTTCAACAGCCTCTCTTTCTCTTCCTTTTGTCTCTCCAAAGAAAGGGATCCCTCCCCTGTCTTCCTATGCCTCCCATTTTATCTCTCCAAGTTTTCAATCGTGCACCTATGGCCCACCAAGTTGTCCCCATGGGCCCCTGGAGATGTCTCTGTCACTCTGCAGCTCATACTCTTGGAATTCCAAGTTCTCTGACCTCAACACTGCTGTGTTTGAGGGATAGGGGAACTTCGGGTCCCCCTACTTTGCTGCCAGGTTGACCCTGTTCCTATTTTTCTTTATATTGTATAATTGCTGATAGGTTTAGATAAAACAGATAATATAATAGATTTGTTTTCCATGTGGCATCCAGAAAGTACCTTTTTGGTATCTTGTTATGTATTGGAAGAAAATGAGCTATTGCCGCTGTTCATACTGACAAACCATCTTTTTACTTCTTTTTTATCTGCCAATTCTGTTAGTTCAGTTAAGTGGCTTTTATGTAGTCATCCTAGCATTGTCAATTGCTAGGGGAGATTTGTAGGACCTGTGTGCATACTTCATGGGCTGAAGGAGTTTTCAGTCAATTTGAGGAAAGATTAGATGCACTCAGTAAGGTGTTATGCCACCATCCTGGATGGCATACCGTTACTTCTCAAAATGAATGGTGGCAGGGTGCTGTATCAGTGTTCTGATGCATGAGTGGTCCATGTGAGGTGGAACTTCAGCTAGACTTTTACTGAGAGATTACATTCCATAATGAGGAGAACTGGGGAGTTATGGTAATGGAGTGAAGTTTGACTTAGGGAACATGGAGGGATGGATTTGGGTGGGTGGATGAGAGTCATATAGAAAAAATTAAATGCTAGGCTGAAGAGGTGGCATTTGTAGGTGTTAAAAAGCCACAAAAGAAATTTGTGTTTTGCTTATTTTCTGCTAGTAGAGCTCTGCTATGAAGGAAGGGTTTTGAGATTACCATCATAGCATTGTGATATATTACAATACTGGAGCGTAGCTAAAAAACCGGACTGGACCGAATTTGTTGTTGTTGCTGTTTGTTTATATGAAGTTTTATAAAGTGCTTTCAATATACTTTGTGTTTTGGTGAACTGTGCAATCCTAAAGTGAAACCGTTTATCCCCTTAGTTGTTGCTGCCTTTTTCATGTGGCACAAAGTCAGAGGCTGAGTGGGTCTGTTATTAGGATGATAAAGCTCTCTAGGCAAGAGTTGCTTTGTCAGGGAATGTATAGCTTGCTGCCTGGGTAGGTGCTTGACTACACTTTCCATGAAAGGTTTAGGTATTGCAGAAACGAAAGAGGCAGGATTCTGTGCCTAACGTTTGGCAGCAGGCAAGGAGACATTTTCCTAAAGCAGTGGCTGGACGCACCGCTGTCAGAGCATCAAGCCTTGACATATCCCTCACCCAAGTCTTACTCTGTTCTTGTAAGAATGAGGATATTCTCTGATATTTTTGTCAATCCTCGTAGACGGAATTACTTCAGTTTCACTACTGCGATCTCATTTCCAACATCATGTTAATTAAACAAACTACTAATTTCACCGGCGAAAAGCTATTTCTGACACGCAGTAGGCTGAAAAGCAAAGCCTTTGCTGTCGATCAAGAGAGGAATAGTTGAATGGGGCGTCTGGGTGGCTCAGTCGGGTAAGCGTCTAACTTGGACTCAGGTCACGATCTCACGGTTCATGTGTTTGAGCCCCACGTCTGTGCTGACAGCTCGGAGCCTGGAGCCTGCTTTGGATTCTGTGTCTCCCTCTCTCTCTGCCCCTCCCCCACTTGCACTCTGTCTCTCTCTCAAAAATAAATAAACATTCAAAAAATGTGTATGAACAGTTGAAACAGTATGGAAAGCTGAAATGCTTAGCCAGGTCTGCAATGTGACCCTTATGTAATACTAGCCAAATCCAGGAATCTGAATTCTCAAATAGGGCCAGTGTCTGTAAAGTTAAAGCTTAAACTACAGATATATACACTGTGTCTTACTGTCTATGCTGAACAATAATTTGTGAATTTATTAGATTAATTTGTTAAATGCATTATAGAAATGGCAATGCCTGTCCTGGGTTAACTCCATTTGCTTTATAGTCTCAACACAGTGGTTACAGTACGGTTTTTTGTTGTTGTTGTTTGTTTTGTTTTGTTTTTCATTTGCTCTTCACCTCTACAATACTGTTATTCTCTTTGTTTTACTTTAGGTTGACCATAAGCTATAGGCAAATATACCTACAAGTAAGGAAAATATCATGGAGAGAACCTAGGGCATGTATATTTTGAGTGCATGCATCCTAAAATGGTTAAACATGTTATTCCGAAATCCTAATGAGAAGTTTTGCAAGGTGTTTATAGGCCTCAAAGTGGCCTCCTTTGTGAGATTTCCACTTTGCTTCCTGGCGTTAGGTGTAGTTATGAGCCTTCTCATTCTGTCCAGATTCTGTTAGTCTTCAGCTGGGAAGCACTTTCTTTGCCAGAAGATCCCTGTCCAATTTTTTTACTCTTGGCAAGTTCATTTACTTTTTCGTGGTTTTTGTCCCAAACATTTTGAAGCCTGGACCCATGATAAGTTGGTTTCCTAGGCTTTTTGTTGTTGAAGGCAAGGAAGCTATTATTGTTCTGTGGTGCCCAAGTACAGCCTGTCCTTTCTTTGCCACAAGTGTTTAAACAGATTTTAAAGGGACATCATATTCAAATGTCTTAAAGATTCTAGTTCAGGGAGTTCTCTGAATGTCTGGATTTTCTGGTCTTATATTTCCTTGCAGATGCACACGGAATCTCCACCACAAAAAAAAATTATATTTTTCTATAGAAAATAAATTGAGATCTGCCTGGGTGGCTCAGGCAGTTAAGATTACAACTCTTAGTTTCAGTTCAGGTCATGATCTCATGGTTCATGAGATTGAGTTCTGATTCAGGCTCTGTCCTGACAGCGTGGAGTCTGCTTGGGATTCTCTGTGCTAGCCCCTCCCCCAGGCACTCTCTCTCTCTTTGTCTCAAAATAAATATTTAAAAAAAAATAAATTGAAAAAGAAAGAAAAAGTTGAGACAAGTATGGTTATGAAATTGAAATAATTGTGTGAATGAATGTTGCCATTATGAATCTACATTGGATAGTAGGCAATGCTGTTTTAATGTTTGATACACACACACACACACACACACACACACACACACACACCCTGCATATGTATGTATAAGATAAAAATAATGTTGTAATGTAACAATTAAAAAAACTTCATTTTTTCATGATTGAATTAAAATAGCTTTACATTTTATTTTTTTTATTTTTATTTACAAAATTTTAAATATAGCAAGATCAACTTTACACCTGGGCTGCAGTCAGCCAACCCACTCACTCACTGGATTACACAGAAGGGCAGTTTCCCCGACGAGTCCCACCTGTTCGGCCACCAGCTACACCTCCTGATGAAGAACACAGGTCTAAGGATGTTGAAACAGGTAGGAGCCCAGAATGTTCTAAAAGTGTGTGATGTAAAGTACTGTGCAGTGCTTACTGGGTACTAAGTCTTAAATTTCTCTTCTGTATTTCTTAGATTATGATCTGCAGCTAACTCAAACAAAATCAGTAGGAGTCTTGTTAAATTGAAAATTCTTACGCTCCACTTTCAAGGCTGCTGAGTTAAAATTCTAGGGGATAGGGCACTGGAATTGTCCAGTTATTATCGTGTATATAAAAGTTTGTGAATTACTGCTTCAGGTGGCCAGTGGTAGCCACCACCTGAGGTTGAGGCTCCACATCCTGAGTTGGGCTGAGAATGCCAAACGGAAATTTCTGTCTATTGCCTTCGAAGATGGTGGCCACCTTACCTCTCCACTCTGACTCTCTTCCTTTATTGCCTTCCTTGTGCTTTTCTTGATCCTTTTCTTAACTTCAGAGATAATGAGGACATAGAGATACAAGTTTCACTAAATCTAAATTTTGAGTAATCTTTTAAAAACTGTACAGTGTTCAAATGTATCTCAAGATTTTTCTTTTTGGTTGTTTTTCTCTTTGCATCTTTTGTTGTCTTTTAAAGTATTTTGTATTATTGGCTGGGAAGATAGAAAGATTAATGTCAGCTTTATATGGAGGCTGAAAGTAGGAAAGCACTTTGTATTTGTCTTAAGAATTAAGAATCACATTTGTGCAGCAATGTTTTATGAAGTTTGGTTGTTTAATTCCTTTCTAAAAAGTTTTCAGTTTGGTATAATAAATTTCTGACTTCTCAGTAGACTGATCCATAAGTGGAGAGTAAATTGAAGGGCATCATTACTATTCAGATATCTATCTATCACCAAATTTTCCTAAAATAGTAGCATGAGTGTTAGAGTTAAGAATTTTGATTTTCCCCCACATTGACTTATAGAGAAAAAGTCATTAGAAACTCAATTTGGACTTGTAATAACAGAGTATAGCATGAAATATCATTTACCAGCTTTGTAACCTTGGGCAAATTTCTTAATCCCTGTACTCAGTTTCCTCATCTGTCAAATGTCAGTAAGAATAGCATCTACTACATAGGGCTGTTTTGAGAATTATATGACTTAATGCATGTTAAAGCATAGAATTAGCATCCAGAATGTTGCATTGGGCTTGGTATAAGTGTTTGCTATGGTTATTATAATTATTTTCATTATTTCACATCATTATTTATTACTTCCTCATGAGTTCCCTTTAAAACCAACAATAACCCACAGTGTTAAGGATTTTATCCTAGGCTCTTTTCCAAAGGTCTGCAAAGCAAACTCAGTGTTTATAATCCTGTATTTACCCTAGTCTCTGGAGGGATGCACTTATGTCTTTCTTCTTTCTACTGAAGCCCAGAATGGGGGGCCCACACCCAACCCAGAATGACCCTTTTTTTAATGTCAGATGCTTTTGAAACACACTGCTTAGTGTTCACTCGATGGACTGTACTCCCTAAAATGAGCAACAAATGAAAGATAGGAGGTAGGAAATGTTGTTCCATGTAGGGCTCTGAATTTCTTATAACACAGTACAGTCGATCAAGGGCCAAGGTAGATTCCTTAATGCAAATATCTTCAGAGATGAAGGGTTCTAACATGATGGCACCTGAGAATAAAGCAATTACATAAAAGTGTATTTCGTGTTAAAAAGAAAAACCCAGGGGCGCCTGGGGTGGCTCAGTCGGTTGAGCGACTTCGGCTCAGGTCATGATCTCATGGTTCATGAGTTTGAGCCCTGCATCAGGCTCTGTGCTGACAGCTCAGAACCTGGAGCCTGCTTCAAATTTTGTGTCTCCCTCGCTCTCTGCCCCTCCCCCGCTTGCTCTCTCTCTCAAAAATAAACATTGAAAATAAAAAAAAAAAAAAAAAAAAAACACACAACTAAAAGTATTGATCCTGTTAAGTACACTGTATTATTCATGTTAAAAGTTACATTGATTACTTGGCAGGAAATAGCCAGGTATAGATACAGAAGAACTAAATTACAGTTTCATTGAGAGTTCTCTTAACAGTTGTCCATGTCCTGTGTTTTACATCATGATTAGTGTGGTATTTTCATTTTATTCTTCTCTAGTATGTCTTTCTCCACTTTTCTGAAACATTTATATTCTCTTCTAAAATTTTAAGGTACTTTAAAAATGTTATGAAATATTTTATATTATTGATTTTGTATACTGGAGGAGGACTAGATTGAAAGGTAGTGATAATATACATTTTAGTTTGGTAAAAGATAATAGTTGGAATTGATACTAGGAAATTTGTAACTTAGTTTTTTCTTTGTTGTTTGGTGTAGCTTATAAAATGACAGAGAAAGTAATTTTTAATATAATAACTTGTATCCTTTTAAAATATGCATTCTTGAAGAGGATGATGGGGGTAAGTGGAAAATAATTTCATGTAGTGATTTGTTTTTCTCCACTTGATCTGTTATAAACCTCAATAGCTATATAGCTTTCTTTTGTTCAAATGATATAATGGTACTTTTCTAAACTTTTCCTGCTGTGACTCCATGGGGTATTCTGATTCTGGGGCCATTTATTAACTATTTGCAGTACACTTAATGACAATTGCTATACATTGTTTTGTAGTGACATCATGGTGAAAGTCAGTATTTGCAACATGTGGACCCTTTCAATTTTAGTTTAAAAGAGTTCAATGACTTTATTTTCTTTCTGAAGAAGAAAGACTTTCAGTTACATTTTAGAAAATTGAAAACTTGTGGGATAACTGGGTAGCTCAATTAGTTGAGCAGCCTACCCTTGACTTGGCTCAGGTCATGATCTGATGGTTCATGAGAATGAGCCCCTATTGGGCTCTGTGCTGACAGTGTGGAGCCTGCTTGGGATTTTTTCTCTCTCTCCTTCTCTTTGTGTTCCTCCCTCACTTGTTTCTCTCTCTCTCAAAATAAATGAGTAAATACACTTAAAAATTTTTGAAAACTTGTTTCTTGCCTTTTTTTTTTTTTGGTCTTGGGCTCTTTTTAATATTTATTACTAATTCACATCTCCAGCTAATTCAGATTTCTGTTGCTGCCTCTTCTGCTTTTCTCATGCTTCTGACTTAAGTTTTTGTAATCCCTTCTGTGAGGAAGGTTTTTATCCACCTTTCATATATTGAGAAAGAACCAACTCTCCTAATATGGATTTGAGTTGCAGAGGTCAAGGTAAGGCCTTGATTTCTCTTCCCACCAGTGATATGGAGAAGGGCTGCAGATTCTTGGGAATCTTTTGCAGTTGGCATTTTTTTCACAGATCAGCATAAGGTGTGAAAATTGACCTTTTGAAGTCTATAGAATGCCTCCTGGAAAGATAAGCCTAGCTGGAAAGGAAATTGGGGAGCATTGTTCTGCAAAATTTGGTGGCAGAAACATTGATAAGAAGAAAACCTTTCCATTTGTCTTGTTTTCTCTTTCTTTTATCTCTCTTCATTTTCCTTTACTTATATATATAACACCCTCCCCGCCCTCCATGGTTGTTTGTTCTTCTGGAGTCCATGACATTTTATTCATATCTCTATCATACAAATTACTTATGTATTTTAATTTATCTGTTTATGTATATTTGTCTTTGTTGAAGACTCCCAACATTTCAAGACCTTTGGGCACATAGTATATGTTTAAATGTTTAAGTCAATAAATTAAGATCTTTTGTTGAAAAAGATCTAAATAACTATCTACTTAGCACATAAATGCAAGCATTTGAGAGAGTTTTGTGTGTGTGCTGAAACAGCCCATGGACCGTTTTCTGGGCTCAATACCAAGTTTCAAAAGCTACTCACTGGATTCACAGAAATCGAAGAGGTTATTAACTTTAATTTTCAAATTTATGCATAATAGAGGCACGATGTCTAGATGTGTGTGGGGACTTATTACGTCTTTGAAACACCAAGCCCCGTATCTTTCTTCGAAAATGTGAAAGGCCAAGTAGAGTAGTATTTAGGAAGGCAGTTTGGGGGACAGAAATCCTGGAGGAAAATATGTAGAAGAAAATCTGGTAGAAACATGGTAGGGACTTTTTATATAGAAATCCTAAAAATCATGTTTACATGTTAGCTGAAAGGACTGCAACCCACCTTTGCTCCAGCATAGATTTGAAGGCGTACAAAAGGAAGACAAAAGAAAATAAATCGAACTGAAAGAAATTTAGGATGGAACAATAAGATGAAGCTGAAGCCAGCTAGTATACAAATATACTTCAGAGGGACTTGTAGTTTTCAAAGATAGTTGGAAATTTTTCTTTAGGTTTAAAGTAGAAAGGGAAATGGGGACAATTCCCTAATGATCCTCTGTGTGCATGAGGTTAAAAGCGACAGTGCCTTTTCTGGACTTTTATATAAAGAAGTGGTATTTCTGATGGTTCCTATTAAGAGAGATTCTGTGTGCTATAATGCAAACAGTATCATCAACTCATTTCCAGGAGTAGTCTGAGTGCTTTGATACACATTCAGTTGGGAGTAATGCAGAAATTCTATAAATGACCCAGGAAGATTTGATAGTGTTCTATTTCTCAGCTTCCCACTTGATCAAGGGATAAAATGTACCAGAAAAGATTGACCATGTCTCCTATAGATAATTCTTCATTTTCAAATTTATTTTTTTGTAATTTTGGCCTGCATTTCTCTCTTACATATGCAAGCTAAATATTGTGTGTCAGTGTTCTTTGTGGGCATTGAGGGGACATATCCATACCATGAGATACTCAAATAAGCGGGACATAAGGTTGTTTCTTTTAGGAAAATTACATGTTTAACTCCATCTCCATTTGTGGAAGGACATAGCATACCAGAATTAAAAGCATCTGCCATATATCAGGCAGCTAGTCATAAATTATATTATTTAAGTTTAATAAGTTCTTTCTCAATTAAATTGACTAGACTTGAATCAAATTGATGTATTAAAGAAACAATATTTTAAGAATTTTACATAAGTGCATTTTATGTATTTTGTTTAATGCATTTTATGCATTATAATTATGCTATAAAACTCTTTAGAGACTGTTTAATTCCTTTTTAGAAGTCATACTTTATGTTTTAAAGAGGTGATTTAATTTATTTTCCATTCATGGCAGAAAGGCATATCCTACTCATTTTCTTTCTCTCTACAAATGTCAAACTCATCCAAGTATGTTTTGTTATGCAAGTCTTATGCTTATTTTGTGATGATAAAGAGATTGTTTCTGAAACATATTAGGAATTATGGGGAGCCCAGAATTTTAGATTGTTGATTATTTAGAACACTTAAAGTTTTGTCAGGAATGTTCTTTCTCCTACTTTGCTTCACAGTAATAGTTTTTAAACAGTCTAGTTACTGAATTCTTAAGAAGGGTGAGTGAAAGAGTTGGCAGTTTTAAATGTACCTTTCTTTGAGAGAGCTGTTACTGGGTTACTCTTTAAAAAGAACCGTCTTGGGGCGCCTGGGTGGCGCAGTCGGTTAAGCGTCCGACTTCAGCCAGGTCACGATCTTGCGGTCCGTGAGTTCGAGCCCCGCGTCAGGCTCTGGGCTGATGGCTCAGAGCCTGGAGCCTGTTTTCGATTCTCTGTCTCCCTCTCTCTCTGACCTTCCCCCGTTCATGCTCTGTCTCTCCCTGTCCCAAAAATAAATAAACGTTGAAAAAAAAAATTAAAAAAAAAAATAAAAAAATAAAAAGAACCGTCTTGGTTGATGAATATGTAATGGGGACTGTCAGCTCCAGATCTAAGTGGAAGGCAATTCCCGAAAGCCCCGGATGCTGGAAGAGGGGAATATTGGTAACAAGCGTCATGGGATTTTGTAACAGAGGTGATCAATCTAAGAATGTTAGAACTAAGTGGATTTCTTAAATCTACCTGCCCAATGACTTTAGCCTTGAGTAGCTACTCAGAAACCAGCTTACTTACCTATCATTTGCAGCAAACATGCCATTTTGTTTTACTCAACACTTAGTGTCATCTCTCATGCTTCTCTTTATTCTCTCCTAACTATGCCTGCTTTTGTTTTTTCTCTTTCTTATTTGTCTTCTCCTTAACTCTTATTTTTCTTTTCTCTTGGTTCTCTTTGATTTTACCTTTGTTTTGCAATGCAGTTATTCTGTACACATCTTTTTCATCTTAAAATCTTGACATTCTAGAATTCCTATGCCTCATTTTATGATTCTGAAGAGAGTGTTTTTTGCCATAACTTTCCCTTAGATGTTGTAACACACTGATTCAAAGAAATAAGAAGTATAGTGGAAGGGAGGGGGTGGGAGAATGAATTCAGTTCAGGTGTTATTTATTTATTTATTTATTTATTTATTTATTTATTGACTGACAAGCATAGCTTTACTTTTTAAAAAAATATGTAATTTATTGTCAAATTGGCTAACATCCAGTGTGTGCAGTGTGCTCTTGACTTGGGGCAGGATTCCCATGGTTCATTGCTTACATACAACACACATCTCGACAGAAGGAAACTGAAAGTTTGGGAGGAGGAGGATTCAGGAAAATGACTGAGTTGTCTTTCTAGTTCATTGTTCTGGTATGCATTCTTTACCACCAGAACCCAGAAATTTGCTTTTTTTGGGCAGGTCACCAGGTCTAGAGCTATAGGGAAAAAGGTAGGAAACACTGTATGTGTTTCTTTTTTTTTTTTTAAACAGTTTGAATTTTTTTTCAACGTTATTTATTTTTGGGACAGAGAGAGACAGAGCATGAACGGGGGAGGGGCAGAGAGAGAGGGAGACACAGAATCGGAAACAGGCTCCAGGCTCCAAGCCATCAGCCCAGAGCCTGATGCGGGGCTCGAACTCACAGACCACGAGATCGTGACCTGGCTGAAGTCGGACGCTTAACCGACTGCGCCACCCAGGCGCCCCACACTGTATGTGTTTCTAATGCAAAGAACTGTTGGTGTTCCCTTGGGTTCTCCCTGCACTATCAAAATAGGAAGAAGAGAAAGAAAAGCATTTTCCATCAAAACAAAGCCCCAGGATTTTATCTAGAGTTTGTTGAGTTTGGGGATTTGTAGGTAACTAAAAACAAAAGTGTTCCAGCATTTGTATTTGCTTTATATTAACTGCTGCTTGGCTTTGTTTTTAGGACCCTTATTCAGAATTGGCTAACTCTGGTGTTAAGTTCAGAGTAGAGATTTGTCAGGATAAGAAAGAAGAATCCATTTTTTATTACTTGAAAAAAATACAATACTTGTCTGGGAAAATGCTTGCATTTTAAGGCCACTTGTTAATGTTCTATTGCTGCAGGGCCATCTGTCGGTGACTACTTCATGCTCTTCTCAATGATTTTTGTTTTGAAAGATACACCCCTAGCTGAGGTGCAGGAAGTAGCTAAAGGCAAAGTGGTATCTATGTTGCCCCTTTTAAGATTCTTACTCCCCTTTTTCCTTTCCCAGGATACCTCCTTTCATGGTTTGATCATTCTTTTGATCACTTCTTCCATTCACTCCTATAATTACTGGGCAAATACTTTAAGCCCCTACCGTGTGCCAGGCAGTATTCTAGATGCCAGGGACAATAGAGGGAAAAAAATGACAAAAATCCCTGCCTTCACAGAGCTTATATTCTAGTGGAGTAAGAGAGATAATAATTAGGAGGCAAACAAGTGAATTATGTAGTATATTATGTGATGCTCCATGTTAAAGAAAGTAAGAGACAGAATGAAAAGTGCTACAGTGGATCAGATCACCACTAGGTTGATCATCACTAGATTGCTAGGAAGGCTAGGAAGAGCAATCATCCTAGATTGCTAGGAAAGAGCAAGGCAAGGGAGACATACAGATATCCCACTATAGCAGAGACCCTGTGGAGGGCGTATGGCAGCATGTTAAAGAGCAGCAAGAAGACTGTTGTGGCCACAGGAGCAGGTAGGGAAAGGCAGAAGTGGTCAGAGAGGTCAGGGACTGTGGACAAGTGAAAGAAGGCCAAGAGCCTGTACAGATGCTGTGCTTTAATTTCAGTGAAATGGAAACTTTCAATGTAGTTTAACAATATGTTATAAAATTTAATAATAAGCCCTTTTTTATTTTTCTAGAGCATTGTCACATGTATCAACTAGAGTGCTGCTAAATTAGGAATGTCTAAATTATCCTCAAGAGTGACTGCTATTTCTTGTCAGGAGTCTGATCTGCATGCTAGCTGTGGTTGGGGAGACATATGACAGGAGAGAAACTCTAGTCTTCCAGCTTCCCACCAATTGCTCATATTATGTGTCTCTGATTTTTCAACTGTAAATTGTCGATGATGGACACAATGAGTTGTTTTCAGACTCTACTCCATGGAGCACTGGGGATTTCTGAAGGTCCTTTTGTTTTTATTTTTTGTTTTACAATGTTCATGCGAGGTTCACTTAGAAGAAATTGTCCCTTAGCTTGAAAAGTAATCCTGGAATTTGTTTTCCCTTAGGTTTTCCAGCATGAATTTACAGTCTCATAGACTCTTAAATGACAAATAAAGGAACAAAATCCTTTCAGAATCCTTTATTACTCGATGGTAGTACTCATGATCTCTTATTGAAATTAGAAGGTAGGGGGCACCTTTGTGGCCCAGTGGGCTTGAGCGTCCAACTCTTAATTTCAGCTCAGGTCAGGTAAAGATCCCAGGGTTGTGGGATTGAACTCCATGTCGGGCTTCGTGCTGAATGTGGAGCCTGCTTAGGATTCTCTCTCTCTCTCTCTCTCTCTCTCTCTCTCTCTCTCCTCTCTCTCCATCTGTCCCTCTCTCGTGTGCTCTCTCTCTCTAAAATAAGAAAAAAAAAAAGAAATTAGAAGGAAAGTTGTCAATAGATAAGACAACTGAATCCCATCCTTCAAGATTGATGAGTTCTATCATTGTACAGACTTGAGCTAAGTAAATAATATAAGTGAATGTTTCAACAGGTATTTCCTAGAACAAAATAGACGCTAGCAGTTGAGAAAAATAATTATGATTGGTGTGTTGAAGAAGGGCATGAGGCTATTCTAATTTAAAAAATAATGACGTGAGCATTAGTCATTATCTGTGTTATATATGCTGAAAAGTAGTCATGTCTTTATAATACAGAAGTATAATTGGAAGATAAACTGGATGTTTTGGTACTTCTGGTTAAAGATATGCTTTAGTTAGTTTTGTTTTCTGATTGAGGAATTGGGAAATTTCTTCTTTAAGATACTGACTCTTTTTCTTTTTCAAACCAGAATCGCAGTCTGCTGTTTTGGAAACTCCAAAAAAATGTTCGGATGCTGTTCAGCAGGTAAGAAGATCTTTTTTTTAAAATTTACTCATTTAAATTTAAGTTAGTTAACATATAATGTAGTATTGGTTTCAGGAGTAGAAGCCAGTGCTTCATCACTTACATAAAACACCCACTGCTCATACCCAATAAGTGCCCTCCTTACTACCCATCACCCCTTTAGCCTATTCCCCTCCCCACCTCCTCTCCAACTACCCTCAGTTTGTTATCTATATTTAAGAGTCTCTTATGGCTTGTCTCACTCTCTGTTTTATCTTATTTTTCTTTCCCTTCCCCTATTTATCTGTTTTGTTTCTTAAATTCCACAAGAGTGGAATGATATGGTATTTGTCTTTCTCTGACTTACTTCACTTAGCATAATACTCTCTATTTCCATCCACGCTGTTGCAAATGCAAGGTTTCATTCTTTTTGGATCACTGAGTAATAGTCCATTGTGTGTGTGTGTGTGTGTGTGTGTGTG